TGGGGGCTCCAAGATTTAAAGCGCCGTCTGTATTACCTTTGGGTAATAGACAGCTGTATCTTGAATTTGGGGAATCATTCAACTAGATGTTGAGTTATGATCCAAGTGATCAGAATTCAAAAACTCACCCAAAAACACCCCATCCGGCCTTGGTCAACGTTTTTGGTCAAACTCACCCAAAAACACCCCATCCGGTCTTGGTCAACGTTTTTGGTCAAACCTACCCAAAAACACCCCATCAGGTTTGGTCAACGTTTTTGGTCAAACCTACCCAAAAACACCCCATCCGGTCTTGGTCAACGTTTTTGGTCAAACCTACCCAAAAACACCCCATCCGGTCTTGGTCAACGTTTTGGTCAAACTTACTCAAAAGCCCCCCAGACGGTTAAAACCGGATGGGGGTGTATTGAAAGCTTTTGAGAAAATTACAATGACTCAAAAGTCCCCACAGACGGCGCCAAATGTTTCGGGGTTTTTTATGTGTCCTGCGGGAGAGTTACAATTCCGAGAATGGCTTGCTGACCGGCTGTGTACCTGCAAAACAACGAAACTCCGGTTGGGTGGAGTTCCGCCTCCGACGATCAAGTTAGGATTCGTACGAAGTGAATAGTGCGGAAATAAATGATTTTCTCTCTGATTTAGAGAGAGTAAATGCTTGTTGGTATTTGTGTTTTGTGTTTGGGAATTTGTGAATACCCAATAAATGAGGTATTTTCCTCTATTTATAGGGTTGGGGAACTGTATTCCCACCAATTAGGATGTGCCACGTGTCAGCCTGGGATTGGCTCCCACTTGCCCTTTCTGGGACTGACACGTGGCGCCCTCTGATTGGGCCACGTGGCTAGGGTGTTTTTTACCCTAATCAATTATTGTTAAATGATATCATAATAATTACATTATTAAGTTTAATTATCATTATTAGATATCTTATTGGGTACCCGATAACCGATCCGAAAATCCGGGTACCCCAAGTCCTGGTACCCGAAATTATCGGTTCAGTTTATGGATATCACTTTTAGTGATATTGGTTATCGGTTACCCGAACCATTAGTACTAACGGTATGGGTACCCATCCCATGCTCAATCCTAATCATAACTGGTTCGCATGGTCGTCTTTTAGGGGCTATTAATTGAGTTCTAGGAAGCGTATAGGGGCGTGTGACCTAATTCTGGAAAGCTCTTCAAGTCTAATTTCTAATGCAATTTGAATCGTTTCAATACAATATATAAAACTCAATTTATGATCAAATGAGTGAGCAAAAGTCATTTTTGACACTTTGCAAACCATCGTTTTCCTTTGTTTCTAACTCAAATTCATCTACGAATAGTGCATTGCGATTCTTGTGTTTTCATTCCTCACGCATATAAATCTCGACCTAAGCTTCCACAAACACATACCCTTCATTGAGCGACCTTGATTCATTGACTCTTCATCCTAATATAATCCGAATCAACTCTCTAAACACCTCGAAAGGATCCGAATGATCATGAAATCCCCTAAAACATTAAGAAAACACAAAAGAAGCGTAATAGAGCACACAATGAACCACTTATGCATTTACGACATAAATAGCGACTAAAAGACCTAAAAAGCAATAAAAACTAGCATAAACGTGTCTATAAATCCTATATAAATGTGATTCATCAAGTACTGGTTCCGATTTCGGAAACCCACTCATGTACATAATTGTTAAAATTTAATACAAATTATAATACTTATTTTGATCCATTTTCATTTTTAGCGTTTAATACTTATATTTATATCTATGCATGAAGCTATTTTTTTTTTGTTAGGAATTAATAATATTTTTTTTTTACTAACTAGATACATTCAACATATTTTTTAAAAAAATATATATATTTAGTTTAATATATATTGAGTAACTGCGTATCCAACCGGTTCCGGGTCCAAACAATTGAGAATTGGAATTGGAACCGGTCGCATCCGGTTCCTTAATTTATTACCCAAAATTGGAAACACCGGGTCCAATTTCATTTCCATACCCACCGATTCTGATTTCAATTCTGGGTTCCTGAAATTTTTGCTCACCCCTGCTCCGTATTATATACTGTGCATCAAGTACCATAATGTATAGATGTTTTTTTTATTCATAGCATGGGCATTCTATTAATATATCTAGAATTTTGTGCAAATAGTTTGAATGAATACCAAATTAATTAGATGGCCTAGTATAGACAAGAGAATATGTTGTATTTCGTATATAAACATCACAGTATAATTGGATGCTAAATGTTTAGTGTATTTTCATATAGGATTTTATGTTAAAATCGAAATTACATATTTTGGGATAGACATATTATTTCACGTGTTATAGATGTTTGGGTTTTCATAGATAGATAGCCACAACGAGAATTTTTTTATGGCTTATGTGGGCGTCACATCAAGTCATAGTGAAAGGAACTTTCGCGTTGTTTAAAGATGAAAAAGCTAGAAGTGGCATAAGTTGCATATCACATCATTTTGGGATCAACGATCAAGTATCAATATTGTAAATATTATAAGGCTACGTGTTTCACCAAAATTTTGCATTACTTTGTAGTTTTAGTATCATGGTTATTGTTTAGTGAGTACATGACCAACGTTGCATTTTCTCTTCTTCACTCTCCTTGTATTTTGATTTAGGTAGCAGACCTATGATAACTGTTTCAGATAATGACCCACAATTTAAATAGAATCAAGCCGAATACTTAGATTTAATTTGGGTTTAAACTACCATGAACATGCAGACTATTTCTTGTAATGTGATATAATAAATGTTGATTTATTATGCATGTTTAGTATCAGGATTAGCTAGATTTAATTGAGTGACTAATTTTACAATCTATATGTGATTGAGAATGGCTTGACCGTGCTCTATTGATTTAGGGATTTCATATTATTCGTTAGCTTTATAAAAAATAAAAAACCAAGGTCCAACACCTTTGGTAAGTAAGTATAGCCCACTACCAGGTATGGATTGTTGGAGTCCATACCACAATAAAAAAATTATATTTGTAAAATTTTAAAAGTTAAAACGGGAGAAGAAAAAAGGATTAACAGGGGATAAAAGAAACAGGAACAACGAACTAAAAACACTACCCACTCACGAAAAAAAAGCTTCGGTGGTTGGAGAATCAATCCCACAAAAACCCCATCAGAGTTGCAGTACTCTTCGTCCTCAAGGAACGGTGCTCGATCTATCGGAGGTGCGAATTTTGTGGCTGATTCAAATTAAAGAAGTTATTCGAAGTATGATTGATGAAAGATGGTAGTTGAAGGACAGTGAAGGATGTTCAAGGTCTTCCAACATAGACGAGTTCTCTGCCGGAGTCCAGACTTGCGACTTCAGCCATGAAAAACGGTGAGTTTTATGCTGAGAATTTTCAGAGTTCGAAAGATTTTGGATATGAGGGGGTTGAATTTGATGACGTTAATTATTTGTCGGTGCTCAGTTATTATTAACTTGTTATTCTTGATTTGTATACTGTTATTTTTTATTTGTATACTGTTATTAGTACATTGCATACTATTATCCAATAAATTATTTATGGTGACTTAAAGTCTTTGTCGGTGCTCAGCTATCATTGACTTTTATACTGTTATTATTGATTTGTGTACTGTTATACTTGATTTTTATACTGTTATCATAGAGTTGAATACTGTTATTGTGGAATTGTGAGAGGAGAGAGAATAATTTTTTTACAACATAGTAAAATTTGATGAGTTACCATGAAAATATTGCGCAAAATTATATATTTGCCCCTAATATGGACCCAATGAGTCCATATCTGGTAGTGGTCTATCACTACCCCACCTTTGGTGGCTTAAGTCCTTCTGATTACTCTAATCTAAGCTACCCTTGGCTCACTAGGTTAGTGTTGTTATGGTAACATCATTAGTCGTGTTTATCAATCATTTTGTACTAACAAAGTAATGCTCCAATGATTACCCAACTTTATAGTGTTACAAAGAGGGAGAACCCAACAAATTTTTTGATGCGCTACTATTCAGATTTTATTTAATTTGATTTAAAAAAAAGGTAGGTTCAATTTGACATGAAATTAGGTTGGAATTCTACTAAGGAAAATGCTAACGAACGTCGGGGGCGTTGAATAAGATAGCTAAAAGTAGAAAAATTAGATTAAAATGAACATTAATTACACCAATCGAAGCGTAATTTTGGTATGCATTCCAAATTAATACCACTTCAAAAAATATTTTCAATGCTTATCTAACGCCCCAAAAGCGTTCGTTAGCAAGATACTTCTATTAACCAACTTTTCATCCAATCCTCAATTATAATTTAATGTGTCATTGAATACATTTATTGTATTAATGTGTTGGAGAATGGAGACCCCATCTTATACTAATTGCCATGCATATATAGATTATCAGAAGCATAAATAATTGAACTCTTTTGCCATTAATGGCATTACAATTAATTTGCAAAAGTATAATGGTTGTTTGATTTATACGAATTTGACAATCTTTGTTATCAGTGGATTATATTTGGAGAGTTTCATGTTCAATACTCCCTCAGTCTTATTATAATTGATACGTTTAACTTTTTTTTTGTTTTTTTTCATTACTTATGTATTCACGTTGACTATATATTAGAGTATTATTTACTAATATAGTAAAAACAAATTTTGTCATGACAATACACGATCAAGAACATAATCCATATGCTTAAGTATTACAAATCTCTCCACTTGAACCTCACATATATTAAAGTTATTAAACCTAATCTTTGTTACATAAGTGATCAACTCTTAAAAAACACGATGTCTATCTAAAACACAGTTAATTTTTACATACTCCTTCGCACATCTTTCTTGAATTATAAAACACCCACACGTTCATATAGATCTATTATGAATTACAGGTTTAATACAAACATGAAAACCCCTTTTAACCATTAACTTGACAAATATTTTAGGGATTATAAAGTCTCATAAAACCCCATTTTATCGAATTTAATACTATATAATTTTACAACGATCAACAATTATAGCATGAAATAACCTACTTTGTAACAAACACCGTAAATTCATTTCAATTCATAACATTATTACCGTCTACCAAACAAACAACTAGACCGTAGTCTAGTTCATCTATTGTCATCGTATTGACATGTCTAAAAGAGGTAGACAAACACTTAAACAGAAGACAAATAACAAAACAAAAGGAAAAGAAAAGAAAAGAAAAAGAATAGAACTAGAAAGTTAAAACAAAGAAAACGCCAAAAAGGTAGAAGTGGAAATAGCACCAGTATTTGCTGGAATAGGAGAGAGAAAAACTCACCTCACCTCACCATTATGCTTGCAAATCCAAGTTTTTTGATACCATTGCATTGTCAATTCACTCAATTTCGTAAGTTTTTCTACTTTTCTCTTCATCAATTTTAATGTTTATTGTAATTATTTGTAATAATTGAGTTTTCAGGGTTTCAAATCTGTAATTTTGGGGTTCATTGATCTGATTTCGTTGATTAGGGTTTATATTAATTTGATTGCTAGTTTACGGAATTTATGCAAGTAGTTGAAGTAATTTATTGTTATATTTCAGTTAATTTTGTAATTGAGTGATTTTGTGATGTTAATTTGTATTGTGGTTTCGGGTCCCGAATTGAAAAAATTGTATAAAATTACTACTTTTTTTTTTAGTTCAACGATTGCGAGTATTTAATTCTGTGTTTTTTGGGTTTATGATTATCACGTTAGCTAGAAATTGAAATTTTGGTATTGCAGGTGAATATTTTGTTATGAATTGCCAGTTTCAAACTAGTTTGCTGGGTTTCTAGCATGATGTTGAAGATTTCTAAAGGCTGTGATGCAGCAGTGGAATCATTGTTGGTATGAAATAATTGATGCATATAAGAGGAGGGGCGGAATTCGACGATACTGTTCTGCAATAGTTAGTTTCAGGACTGTTGGGGAGTGCTAATTATACACAAACTTTAAAAGGGTCTTGTTGTTCTGCTTTCTGCAATGTCGAAGGACTCGTATGAACGGCAGACAAGGAGCTCATCTGGTTAGATATTTTTCATTTGTTTTTGCAATTTTATTTTTATTACATGGTTGGTTTCATGAATTATGAGCAATTTGATGTTTACCTTAGATATAAATGAGGAACAATAATGGGTGTCCTTACTGGCTTATGTTATTTTGCACTATGTACAAAGTATTGACATGGAAATTGAATCAGGAAATGTGCATCTTGATGACCAAACCTTGACAAGCGGAGGGTCTGTTGTAGAGTTGCTGTTATTGCCTAGGAACTGATTAGTGGATTGCACTCAGCAGGTGCATTCCATGAGTTACGTATCTATGTTGTCATGTCTACTAGAAATATTCTCTTAAGTTATTATGCCCGTAGACCTCTTGCTTGTAGCCATGTTAATGGAAGTGATGACGTGTTGAATTTTTCTGGAAACTGGCCCTTTGATGAGTCATTTGCAATGTGGTGGGGGTGGGGGGAACCCTGAACTTTGGGTACTAAATGCTTAAAATATGTTTTGTTTGCAGTTAGACTCCTCATGTGCATTAACTGTTTTTATTACCAACCTAGGTTCTATGGGTCACAGGAGGTCTTATTGATAAAAAGAAGTGGACAAACTGAGCATCTACATAACATTAGATTGCAGTTTTGTACTCATCTAGCGTTTTAATTAGTCCATTAGTAAGAGGGCCACAATTTTATAATCAAACTACTTGTAGATATCTATGGGATACACAGATTCAATATCAGTGAAAATTTCACTTTGAATATTGTGATTTATAAAACCAATTTTATTGTGAGAACTATGAGAGGGAAAAAACCTTAAGGCAAAGCTGGTATATAAAGCAGAAGCTTTCCTAACTTTCTTGAAATTCTAGAAATGATAGCAGCAATATGTTCTGTGCAACATTAGTTCGTAGTTTTGGTACAAGTGACATTGCTAGATACCATGCACAATGTCAGCCTCACTGTAAGATTATATTTTAGAGGTTAATGCGGCACATAACTAAACATAATCAAGCCTTCCCAATCCTTCAATTTGAGGTTTCATCTGTGAAGGGGAAGAGAGGTCATCCTCCGTATGTGTGTCCCCATTGGGATAAATTGGTTGCCTCTACGTATCTTGAATTGAAGCTTTGGGCTGTTCATTGAGAGATTTGTGTCACAAAAAGGTCAGAAACCACCTTTCTGGAGCTTCTTAATGCAAATGATTAGGAAGTAGGGAGAAGAATATATCTAGCATAAATTTTTATCAGGACAACTTGATGAGAAAAGTGATGGACCATCAGTTGTAGAAATGTCTAATACTAAAATGATCATTTGTCATTATTGAAATTAGGGGTACAGTAGTGAAACTATCTGGAAGCTTTTCAAATGAGAGGAAAGAAATGAGAAATTGAATGACATTAGTTTTAGAACAAAAATTAGGATGAATTTCCTGTGTGAAGATCAATGACTGGTTGAGGGGCATTAATTTTTATTTGTCGTGTTACCTAACGAAATGATATCTGAAACTATTACTGGATTAGTGTATTAGAATTTTCTACATTTTGTACTTTAGTTTAAGATGTACCAGTTTTCTTATTCTTCTTTTAGAATCAATTGAATCAATGGTAATGTATAGTCTTGCAACATTCTTATGAAGTCTAACCAGGTTATGGAGATCTCAATTCGACCCTGTTGATTAGGATTTCATTATAAAGGTACATGGCCTTGTTTTGTTGAATGGTGGATTATGAGATTCTGGTAATCAGGTAGGGATTTTGGCAATCACCTTGCTTCAGTTACTAATGACGCATCTTTAGTAAATCTTTAGGGATTTCTTGTCATTGTGCATCTGCCCGTCTTTAATCGTAGCGGCTTGTGTACTTGTGGTTTATCTTAATGTAATTTCCTTGCTGATTTTCAGATCGTTTGGTGATTTACTCCTTTAGTGTATTTTTTGGCAATATGAAACCACTCGTAAATGATTCCTGCACTTTCTTAATAAATATACGTGTCCTGTGGTTCAATATTTTGCTTTACTATGCTTGGTCCATTGGGTTTGTTTACTGATGTTAGGAACTGATTCGCAGTTTCTTCTTTCAACTAATTGATTTTTTTTAAACAAACCTTCAACACAGTACATTTGGAAGTCCTTTATCTGGTAAAAATGACTGAATATGAGGGAGCTGACTCAGCTGAGATTTAAAGAGCATTACATCAGCTCTCAATTCTGTGCACAGTGGTGTAAAACAATCTCAATAGAAGTATAGGTTGAGCAATAATCTTTTTGTTGCTGAGGCTTTCATGGAAATGTGATGATACCGGTGGAGAAAGCTCAATAATTCAAACCAGATCATTAAAGGCACAATAAAGCTTATAGTGTAGATCCTAAACATCAAGCTGAAATTATTGAGGCATTTGACTAGGAGGAGCAACAAATGATATATATTTTTTTAATAGAATTAAAACTATGGATTTTGTAATGAGAAATAACATGTCTCTTGTGTTTATTATTTTTAATACTAAACAAATGCCTCTTAAGACTGTTTAAGGTGCCTAAATTTTCCACTTCCTTAAGTTGTTTGGCTTTTCTTCCTGTTTGCATGATGGTTCTTGGTGAGCCTATATTAGTCGGATGTGTTAAACTTGATTGATGACTGAACTGCTAGATAATGTGCTGAGGTCCACTATTGTTGTGTTGTCTAGGAATTTTGGCTACTAACTTAGTATTGCTCCAAGGTGATACTTCAGAAGCAATGAATACTACTTATGGCTGCATTGTAAAATAGGGTTTATTTTATAAGGAAAATATATGCAGCAATGAGGTGCAAACTATGCATTTACCCTAATCTTTGCTATTCATCACATTGATTTATTTAACCGGGAGGGAAATTGAGATTCAATATTGTTAGGATATGCCTTGAAATAATTAGCCCCCTTCAAACGACCATCATGAGGGTCTTGCTTTTGGGCCTATTTTTTGAGCTATTATGTTTTCTGTTCTGGAGGCTACTATATAACCTATCTGGGTTTTAGGCTAAGCACTTCTCTTTAATCTTTACTACCCTCAAGATCGATAACTTTCCTCTCGCCAGTTCGTGGACCTAACTCATCGTTAGTGATGCAAGTAAAATCCGTGTTCATTTTTGTTGATTTCGTGAATCTTTCTTGCATTTGTTATAACAAGTACACAAAATGTTGTGAAGATTATTGTTTTTGGCTTGATTGTATTTGATTGATTAGTTTTGTTGTGGCTTTATTTTAAGGTGCGATAGAACAAGAGCACAAATGTCAAATGAAACTTCAAAGACATTGTCTTACTTCAAATTATGCTAGTTTTTATCATTGTTCCTTCCGCTATTCCTTTCTTTCTACGGTATTATTTGCTGTAAGTATATGAACTGGGCATTATAAGTCCCTCACATTTGGCTTCGAAGAAGGGGGCAAGTCCGGTGGGGGCTTCTAGAATACGACCCTATTACATATTCAGCTGTAAGGTCTATAGCCAGAAAATACCTACATTTTATGAGCACCAAGGTTTGTACAAATACTAAATCCAATCCCGGAGGCTTTGAAATCAGCAATCCTTTCTTCTAACACCCAAGATTTTGTTCTTTGTAGGCTTGTAGCCCATCTTTTCATGTGTATGTGGCTAAAATCCAATTCTGATGCTTATGTTTGGAGAAGAAAAACAAGCATTGTTGTTTCTTTGAATGAGGCTCTATTGAGTCATGTGCTCTCCTTTATTCTTATATATATCCCATGCTTCATTGTTTCTCTCTCTCTCTCTCTTTTTTTTTTTTTTTCTTCATGTATGATACTCAAATCATTTTTGTTTGCGGTAAAAATGGAAAGGATATTGTTATGTTGCTCCTACAAGGATACAAATGCCTGCATACTGAAGTTTTGTTAATGGTTTATGTTACCTTTTCTGTCTTTGAAGTAGGTCATTGTCTACTCTTGCTTCTTTTGTTGCTTCATTAGATTGCTCCTTTGTATTTTGAGTTTGTTATTTAGAAACTAATATCAAATGTATCTAATTGCCAACAGGCATATCCCCTGACCAAGCATCTATTGGCTCTGGGACAAAGAGGTCCAGCGTATCATCAGGCGGTAAGAATCGAGATAAAAAGGAATTTCTTCGGAGATTTGTAGACAGCAAAATGTTTACTTCTAATTTGGAGGAGTGGTTTGAGGCTATTTCAGATAGTTCAGGACAAGAGACATTTGATGTGCCTTTTGAGTTGGTAGAGCTTCAGAAATTTGATTATGCATTGGAAGGGGTTTCTTTCCAACAACTCATCCGTATGCCTAGTGCTGTCTATGCTTCTACATCTGACGGTGTTGAAACTACAGCATTTCTAGCAATTGAGGATTTCCTACATGCATGTGTAAAGGGGTTGTGGGAAGCATTTTGGAGTGATGGAGAACCTTTACCATTCTATGTTGCATGTCTTAATAATGAAAATATGAAATTCTATCAAGCTGAAAGGGCAATTGCAAATGGTAAAGTAGGAGGTCTCTGTGCAGCTTCTATTTTACTGAAGAATGCCAAACATCCACATGGTAAATGGGATGAAGTGCTCGAGCTGGCTCTGTTGACGCCTGATATTGGAACCCTTGCAGAAAAGGGTGTGCGTCTTCCTCCTCTGTCCATATTAGGTGAAGCTTTATATTTTGCTCTCCGGATGATGTTGTCTAGAAGCCTTAGCAAGAATAGTTTTCTTCAAAGTCCAAGCCCTGTTTTTGTGCTTCTTGTTGATTCTCAAGATGCTGGTGTGATAAAAGTTGAAGGAGATTTGAGCAAATTGAAGCTAAATGTAAATAATGTATATGAGTCTGCCACAGAATGGATAAAACATCATTCAAATATTTCGATGTCTCCTATTGATAGGATATGGAATAAGCTTGGAAATGCTAATTGGGGTGATATTGGTGCCCTTCAGGTGCTTTTTGCAACTTACCACTCCATTCTGCAGTTGGCTGGGATGCCCAAGCAGTCTATTGAAGATCTGGCTGCTGATCACAGTTCTCGTCTTCAAGCAAGAAGATTAGAGAGGCAACTTGCTGACACCACAGTGAATGGACATGGATTACACCAGTACCAGCAGCGCTATGGCTCCCCAGAAATTGTTGAGGTTCTAGATGAATCCAACAGAAGGGAGAATGCTGAGCCGATGAATCTAGAAATTGGGTCAGTTTTATGGTTGGAGGACTCAAACCATCAGAAAGGCTATCAGATTAGTGAAATTCGAAGTGATAGTGAACTTACTTATTACATAGCGTTTTCTATTGAGGACCCTGGAAGGTCTCTCTTCTTATACATTGGTTCGCATCCCTCTCAGGTGGAACCTGCTTGGGAAGATATGAATCTGTGGTACCAGGTTCAGAGGCAAACTAAGGTATTGACAGTGATGAAACAGAAAGGTCTATCCAGCAAGTACTTGCCTCTACTGGTTGCTTCTGGTAAAATAAGTCACTCTACTCGTTCTAGGAGGTCAAGCTCCAGTGATGATTCCAATCACCTTTGGTGGGGAACCCCTGTCCTTGTGACTAGCCCAGTTGGTGAAACAGTAACTGGTATGGTCAGAAGTAGCTGTTTTGGCTCAGATGAGGCTATCAAATGTTGCCATGACTGCTTGTCTGCACTTTCTACTGCCTCTTCTTCTGGCATTCGACATGGTGACATCCGACCAGAGAATGTGATATGCATTACTTCAGGTGTAAGAAATCCTTACTTTGTCTTGGTTGGGTGGGGTCATGCTGTGCTGGAGGAAAGGGATCGACCTGCATTGAATCTTCACTATTCATCTACGTATGCCCTTGAAGAGGGTAAGTTGTACTCAGCGTCTGATGCGGAGAGCTTAGTTTACATGCTCTATTCCTGTTCTGGTGGGGAGCTGCCTGAATTGGATTCAGTTGAAGGGGCATTGCAATGGAGGGAAAGGGCTTGGTCAAAAAGGTTGATACAGCAAAAGCTTGGGGATATTTCAGCTGTCCTTAAAGCTTTTGCTGATTATGTTGATAGTCTATGTGGGACTCCGTATCCTATTGACTATGATATTTGGTTAAGACGGTTGAAAAGACACATTCGTGAGGATGATCACGGCAAGGAAATTGACATGTCAGGTTGAACATACCTTTTGAGAACCCTTCTCAACAAACCAAAATTTTTGCTCTCCAACATTGTAGCAGGGAAATCTGGAACCTGAGGCGAGCTGTGTAAATAAATCAGTTTGATTGATGCCATGGTTGAAACTGGGTGCAATCCGATGAGAGGATGACATGAAAAATCAGGGCTTGTAAAGTGTCTGTGAAAGTTTGAGAGCACTGGTTTGAGGGGCAACTTTTGGGTACGTTGATGATCAGCTTTCACGTTTTGAGCTTATCAGAGGATCTGACTTTTGTAGCTTATAATGTGAGGCAATGGTTGTTCTCAGTTTCTTATCACAGTGGGGGTTTTATTTTAATATTTTTTGGTATCAAATTCAAATGATTTGTAATTCAATTGTAAAGAATAGGATGTCCTTTTTGGTTCGTTCAGAAATCTGGGTTTTGCTGCTTGTATTGAAGTCTGTTTATCGATTAAAAAAAAAAGCCCAATTAATGGTGTAAGTTTGTTACCATAATGTTTGGATGATGTCCAGACATCATTGTTTACCAAGATTTACTAACCTTGTTCAGCTACTCTCTTTGTAATAAGACACTTGCTCGCTCGACATTCAACGAAATAACTGCTTACACATTGGTATCAACTGCAGCAGCATCTTCAGCAGATTAACATTACAGTCTCTAAAAGCATGGTTTCTCATAGTGCGACACGCCAATGACTATTTCCCTTGAACTCACTAACTGGAAAGTGGAAACACCCATCAACCAAGTCAATTGCCCATCGACCTTTTTAAGAACCTTAATGAAAAGAGTAAATTACTAAATTCTTGAATTTCTTATATAGCTAATTGATTTATTTACTCAAATTTGGTATTTTGAGTTGTATTAATTGTATGAGTTATGTATTAATTCCCTTTTGGACATTGTCAACAAAAAAAAAATAAAAATGTATGAGTTAGAAAATTGGGAAATTTAATGATGTTTAAATCTAAGAAGTCAAGAAAATCAAGCTGAAGAGTTTTTTATTGCAGGTGCAAAGTTATTTTTGATATCTTTAGGCCATTTTTGGCAACGATAGGTTAACAATTAGATGTGTGCATGAGCTTATTTTTCAATCTGATTGTACGAGCTAGTTTAATTAGGTTCTTGTATTAGTTGCTAATGTAAAAATGTTTGATAAGTACCTGTTAGTTCATAACTACTTAATTTTTTTTTTTTACAAGGCAAGAAAAATAATAATTAGGAATCCTGTTCATGAGGTGAATTCTTAATGTAACTTATATTGTATAACCTGACCAATAAAGACATATGTATAACTTATTGCCTGTATTTGTTTGAGTAAACATGCTAATACTTTGTAAATTTGGATCAAGTGTAAGATAGAAGAGTCATTTTACCTTAACTACCACAAAACTCTCTTGTTAAAAAACTCATATTCTTAACATCTTTAAAAGTAGTTTATTAGACTCAAAACTCTCTTCAAACCATCTCTTAATCAAATACTCACATTAGAGGTTTGAGCTAGTCAAACCTCTTTCTTTAACCCCATACCTCTCCTAATTAGACACCTCTTTATCCACTTTATATTTGAAATTCTTCAAATTTGTTTAATAATTTTGATTAGTATCAGTTCAAACTATAAGTCCTAAACTCATCTTTTAATTAACCTAAAATTTTCTTTTTTAAACCTTAAACAAATACCTTAAAATACAATCTTAAACAAATAACCTTACAAATTGTTTTTTTTTTTTTTAACAAATTAACTTACAAAAAATAACCTTTAAAAATTCGTTAATTTTTTTTTTTTTACCTTATAAATAACCTTAATTATTTTCTTTTTTAAACCGATTAAAGCCTATTTTTAAGATCTAAAAAATCAATTACTCGTAACCTTCTTGTCTCTTCTCAAATCCTCAATTCTCAGTTCTTCGTTCTCCGTTTCCCGCTTTCTTCTCGTTTTCCCTCTTCTCTACTACTCTACTTGCTTTCCACTTTCAAACCACTCGATTTTCTGTTCATTCTCTTTCATCTTTGATTTGTAATTTCTCCACCTTTTAAGCTTTCTTTCCTCCATTCAAGCCAACTTCTGAGGTAACATTTTTTATTTTTTTTTTCTAATCACCGAATATCAATTTTGCATTCTAGGGTTTATTTCATGCAATTTACGTTGATAATTTTAATTGAGAAGATATTTATGTGATTTTATAATTTTTTCAATATTGGGTTTTATATGCAGCTTAAATCTGAAATGGGTAGCGACGCAAATTTAAAATCATGGGTTTCGGACAAATTAATGTCATTTCTGGGTTATTCTCAACCTACTGTTGTCCAATATATAATTGGTTTATGTAAGTATAAATTTTTTAGGTTCTATTTCTATTTTTACTGAAATCAAATCATAGGAATTGTTTGTTTTGTGAAAATTTGATTGATTTTGTTTGGGGTTTTTTGCAGCTAAGCAGGCTTCTTCCCCTGGAGATGTTGTTGGTAAGCTTGTGGAATTCGGGCTATCATCGTCGAGTGAAACCCGTGCTTTCGCTGAAGAGATATATGCTCGTGTTCCCCGTAAAACATCTGGTGTTAATGTGAGTTTGATGCTGAATTTGATGTATCAATTTTAGCTTAGTACTAGTCAGTGTAGCTTAACTTACTGTGTGGAACATCAATTACGAACCTAAACTTGTGAATTGGTACATTAGAACACTGTTCGGAGTAATTTTAACATAGCTAGTTAGCGAATTGTGTACTCGTACTTGTTCGGAAAGCAGGCCGTGAAAATATAATATTATCATCGAAAATATCTCCTGAAACTATGTGCCCCCCAAGTGATGCATTTACTTAGGGATGGTGGAAGGAATTTGAGACTTGAGGGATGTTCATGATGCCATTTATCAGGATATGTTAATAACATTTGAATGTTTTAGACTTTTAGTTGGTGGTGTTGAATTTGATGTGTAATCAATTATTGGAAAAAAAATGCAGAGATAGTTAGGTATATTGGAAAACTGAACAAGATTGTATTTTCTTTTATCAGCTTTATCAGAAGCAAGAGAGGGAGGCGGCAATGTTGATTAGGAAACAGAAGACTTATCAGCTTTTAGATGCAGATGATGATGATGATGATATGCCTGTTTCTGAGAACAAAGCGTCTGTTCCCATTGAGTCTGCGAAGAGGCAAGATTCACACAAGAAACGTTTTAGGAAGAAGAGTGACAATCCTGATGAGGATGAAGATGATGAGGCATAGTGTTAACTTTTTTTACTGATTGATCAGTTTTCTTTGTTATGGTAAGCTGCTAGATGATTAATTTATGTATTGACTTGTCATCTTTTTTGTTGACTTTGTGCCATACTGCAGGTGACGGTAAGTAGAGAACAAAAAAGACAGGTCAAGAGAAAATATTCCGATGATGATGATGATTCTGAGGTATGCAGATGCTGATTTGTCTCAATTCATCGGCCTTCCCATCTCCTAGTCTCATAATTCTGGAGTTGTTTTTGTATTAATTTGGGGAAAAATTTGGTTGGGGCATGGAATCTGAATTTGGGGGAGAAGTGGTTTATATATTCATCAATTCATGACATGGTGTACTTGATGCTCAAAGTATGTTTAATTTCTAAATGAGGTTGCTTTCTGTTGATATTTTGTTGATTTGTCTATTTCATAATACAGTCAGAGGAAGAAAGAATACGTGATCAAAAAGAGAAGGAAGAATTGGAAAGACATATGAAAGAGAAGGATGCTGCTCGGACTAGGAAGGTAACCTTTCTTTGTCAGGACTGCTCAAAGTGGACTAACGGAATCCGTTGCATTATTTTTGGTTTATTTTTAGTATAATGCTTTTTGATGTGTTTCTCTGTTCCATTCCTGTTCTTTCCATGCTTTGTGGTTTGGCAATGACACCGCTTTTATTTACAGCTAACAGAGACGAAGTTGACGAAGAAGGAGGAAGGTTAGTTTCAAAGAGTTACAATTTTGTCTTAAGGGGAATATTCTAAAGTTTGAACTTCAAAACCATTCTGTTGTTCTATTTACTTTAAAGAAAACTTCATTTTCTGTTTTGCAGAAGAGGCAATTCGGAGATCAAATGCTTTGGAGCAGGATGATATAGAAGCACTTAGGTTAGTTTCTTTGCATTTGGCATAATTGCATCTTACTTCAATTTTTGAACTTTTTCCAGAACATGCCATTGTTGATTCATTGCAGGAAAACCTTCCTTTTTAATGTTCTCTAAAATTGAAAGCCTGTTGTTCTGCACCTCATTATTTCTTAATGCCTTTTTGGTCTCAAATTGCCTCCTCCCTCTTTCTCTTGCTTGCTCTCTCTCAAATTTTACAAAGGATACCAAAAAAAAATCCTTATTTGAAAATAATAATTAGATGTATATTTGTACATAATTTCTTTGAAAGTTCTTGCTCGTATGAAATATTGGATTTCGTAGAATTCCACAGAAAGATCCTTTTATCTTATTTATAAAAGCTGTAGAGTGAAGGGCCATTATATTATCTGTGCTGAGAAATATTATCACAATATTAATAATGAATCTTAGAGTGGAACGCTAGTCATCTGAAATCCAGGTTTACCTTAGAGGCTTTGTCATCATTGTGATGTGAAGATGTTATTATGCATGATTTAGGTGGAAAGTATTATGCATTCAATTGGGTACAATTGCATCTCTCAATAATTTGTTTGTATTTATGTAATAGTAACAGCTTCGTCATTTGATGAATAGAAAGGTGATATGAATCGTTCCTTAAGGGTTATCTTTATGTCTTTGAATCCGACCTAGCTCTCTTTGTTAAATAGCATTATCAACTTTGGACTTTTGTTGATATTAATACATGTTTTCTACTAGGTTAATCTTTATCATGCAAAGTTGAGTTGAAGAAGTGCTCCCAGTCTCCCATCTTTGATTGTGTTTTGACCTTTGATGAAGCTGTAGATGATTTTTAACTCGATGTTGAATAGGACTAAAATGAGTTTACTCTGCCTGTCAGACACCCTCATTCTGGCTTAATTTGCTTTTGTTGCTGTTCTTATTATGATTACACTTGATTCTTTATGGTCCTACTTTGTCTACTTTGTCATTAGAAGGGTTATTAATTTCATCAATTGATTGCCCTGGCTCTTAGGGTGGCTCCTTTATGTGCTTTGTAAACCTTACATTGTTTTCGTTTGATGAATGCAAATTCAATTCTGGTCACCATGAGATTCCTTACTGATATAGTATTAGTAGATTTGCAGCTATTTCTGTTCCTTGTTTCCTGTGCTGATGTTGCTTCGTTTGTGTTTTGCTCATCTGCTGCAGAAAGGTTTCAAGACAAGAATACTTGAAGAAAAGGGAGGAAAAGAAATTAGAGGAGCTCAGGTATATCTGCAGTAGCACCTTAAGTTATTTATTTATTTTCTAAATTGTTAAATAGGATTGAGCTCGGGTAGTTTGCTAGTTCATGTATTTTTCGCCTTCTCTATCTGATCTTATGTTTAATATGATGCAGAGATGAGATAGAAGATGAACAGTATCTATTTGATGGTG